AAACCCCGACCAATCAGAGCACTTGTCCGTCCGAGCGCGGCGACGTTCAAGGCAGTCGGGCTATACGGGCGCTCTGATTGGTCGGGGTTTTTCGTTAATAACTCGACAACCACACCTCGAACAACATTTTGGCAAAGGAAAATATTGTTTAAAATCATCTCAAGAACCTCCCATTAGTATACCACCAGTTCTGGGACACCCTGTATATGAGACTCTTATGAGAATTTCATTTTGTATCATCCAAAATTCCATTTGAATTTCGCAGAGGCTTTCGACGAGGACCCTAGAAGACTGGTCGGTGCTAAGAACGCACAGCCCGGCCAGTTTCCGTACGCGGTGTCCTTAAGATTGTACGGCCAACACATTTGCGGTGGTTCGATCATCGGGCCACAGCACATTCTCACCGCTGCCCACTGCGTGAAGCCACTTGAGGGTCATTTAAATGAAGCGAGCGTAGTATCCGGCTCGATCGATCTGAGGACCGGTGGCGAGCATCACCGCATATCCGGCATGTGGGCTCATCCCCAATACAATGGAAACAACAAGATCAACAACGACATCGGTGTTATTAAAGTAAAGCTTTTTATTTTCTACAGGAATAATGTTTCTTACTTGATCATCTATTAGGTGAAGTAAAAAGTTCTGAGCCTTTTTTGTCTTCATTTCGACGATGAAATTGACTTCTTGAGACCAGCCTTATGCAAATGGTTCCAAACGGTTTTCTGGTTAAGCTTCAGTTCCTGGGCAATAAAATAAGTGCTCGCATGCCGGTCTGACTCGACGATTTCCATGATTTTATCAACGTTTTCGACGATTGGCCTACCAGAGCGTGTCTCATCTTCGACGTCCATATTATCAGAACGGAAACATTGGAACCACCGGTTTGCTATTGCATTCGATACTGTATTGGATTCATAAACAGCACAAATTTTTTTGGCCGCCTGCATCGCTTTTTCCCCTTGGTCGTAGTGGTACTGAATAATGTATCGAATTTTCTCGTTTTTTCCTCCACTTTGGAACGCACTAACACACAACTGGATTCACTCATCAAAAAATTGTCACAAGACTTTTTTTAAGGCGTTATGTCGCCTTTAATTTGCCGTATAGAATGAGAAGATACAACGTATACATCGTAAGATATGGCTCACTAAAGCCATGTAACGAAAAAGGCTCAGAACTTTTTACTTCACCTAATATTATCACCATTTTATCCTAAGTATTTTACTTACCCTAATTGCTGATCTTGCAATGATTGATTCTTTTAACACTAGAAAGACTGAAACTTAGTATATACCTATAT